GCAGATTGACGGCCAGAAAAGAGACCAACCTGAACCAATGGTACACAACATGTCGGCTCCCAATACTATTGCGAAATGGGGAAAAAATATGATGATAAGTCCTGATCATAAGTGTGATGACATATTAAGAACACAGAGTGTCACCACCCCTATTGATCCCATGGGTGTCGTATGAGTCAACTAAGCAAACTACGTAGGACAACCACTCTGCAAAAAGAAGGAAATTTTGAAACAAACCCGTCTGGCCAGTGTGGTATAGTAGGCCAAAACCTTATTTTTAAGGAGAGGTAGAGTCCAGCAGTGGACTATTTAAGGCTGTTGATGTGATGATGTTAAGCCTGATGCACAAGAAAACAAGTCAAGGCAAGTATCCAGTACTCGTTTTACCAGAAGTTTCTCTGTCGTACGCGTTCTAAGAATAAGAACGTTTGACGTTTCAGATACTCAAAGCCCATTATTTCGCTCAAACATTTACCCCTCTTAACACCTGAATATGCAAACATTGTTTTGCTTAATATACGGAACCTTGCCGCAACAGTTCCCTGTAGTGTTTGCTTTATTTATTGATTTTGAAAATTCAAGCCACAACTCCCCCCGTGAATGCTACTCGCTACTGAATATTATACGTACGTAGTGTACGGCTGATAAATTATTTACAAAATGCTAGAGTGTATCTTTAAGAGTATCTCTAGTAGGTGTTGGAAGTGTTGTGGTGTATGAAGCACATTTTTTTTGTGTTTTCTGAACATTTATTTATTGATTGAGAATTTATTTATTTATGAGACATTCTTAGCAGAGAAAAAAATGTCTTCAGTTCATGAAGATGTTACTGAATCTTCCTGTTGAAACAGAGTTCAGGGAGACTTCTTCTGACGTTATATTTGAGTCCCTTGCAATAGACACTCACTTGTGACTTAAACCTGTGTAGATACATACAACTTTACCGCTAGCATTTGTAAGGAATAAGTTATTTGTCCAATAGAAAAACAATCTCTGAAAAATAACAAAAATAAATTTGGATTATTTTTACGTGTTGCAACATTTTGTCAGAGGACTTAAGGATAGGGTAGGAGGTCTCTTTTAGGAACACCTCAATTCATTTATAAAATCTATATCAATGCAAGCAAAACAGTGCAAAAAAACTATTTAGGTTAAATACCTACCAGCAAAGCATTCATTTACACAACACAACTATGAAATGTTCAGTGGTTTATGAGGTTTCATTTATTTTCAAATAATTTAATTAATTAAATCATTTTTTGACGACCGAATGGCGTAGTGGTTTGAGTAACGGACTGCTATTCCAAAGGTCGCGGGTTCGATTCCCGCTCAAGTCAAACATTTGTGTGCATGAATATTTAATGTTTGATTTGGTCTGGGTGTTTCTATGTACAATAAGTATGTATTTACAAAAAAAAAAGGATATATGTATTTATATCAGTTGTCTAGTACCCATAGTACAAGCTCTGCTTAGTTTGGGACTAGATGGCGTTGTGTGAATGTGGTACAATATTATTATTATTATTTAATTTGATATAGGCAAACAAATGGAACAGAAATATGTCTTCCTTTTATAATAATAATAATAATAAAGCCCTTTATTCTCAAAATAAGATTGTATAATCAAAATACTACTCGTAGTACATTTAATCATTGTTAAACTTTACAAAGCCCTTTGTTCTCAAAATAAGATTGTATAATCAAAATACTACTCGTAGTACATATAATCATTGTTAAACTTTACATGCATAATTTTTAGTAATAATAATAATTTAATCAATCTATTCTTAAAAAAATATCATTTAATAGTATTATTTATTTATTCACATGTATTTTTTTCGATATTAATTTGTCTATTTATAGTCACTAGTACGATATACATATATGATATTCATATTATTCATTAAGATGATTATGATGATGATGATGATGATGATGAATTCATTCTAAATGTTTTAATATTTATCTATTTATAGTAAAGTTTAATTCTACATCATGTTCGTTCTGGACGATAGCAGGTACCGGGGAATTTTTCAACATTGGATATCGGATATCAATGGCATTCCTGTATTGATGGAATATTAAGATGCCGTGGTGTCCGGCAGAATATCCGCATGCTGCCTTCCATATTACTTGTCAGCCATGGTGTAGAAGTACAACTGGGAACAAGAAATAGATTAATTACCTTTTAATTTTTTTCGGATTAAAAATACAGAGTTTCACCACCCCTATTCATCCTGTGGGTGTCTTAAGAGCCGACTAAGCAAACTACGCAAGACAACAGCACAGCAAAGAGAAGGAAAACTTGACAAAAACCCTGTACTAACCCGTCCGGCCAGCGTTTTATAGTAGGCCAAAACCTCATTTCTAAGGAGAGGCCTATGTCCAGCAGTGGACTATTAAAGGCTGTTGATGATGATTACAGTTTTACCACACTCCACATTTTGTTTAGGCGTATGAAAACTTAATCTTCTGTTATTGAACTGTATAGTAACCATATTAACAAATTCCTACCTGGGTAACGGTCCATTCACCGTGGCTTGTGAAGCCTTTGATAGACAATTGCAAACGCTATACATTATGTTTTATAGACTACAGTCTAAAATTATATTAGTTATTATTTTGCTTTTGATTAATTTTAGTCAATTTATTTCGATTGACTACATTTTTAAATAATTTAGTCAAGAATATAATGGAATTATAATACGTATTCATAGAATTATAATCGATTTTAATGTTAATTGAAGTTGAATTGTTGTTGAACTTGACTTGAAAAATTGAATTTTAATGTTAATTTGTTAATTAAAGTAAGTAAGTAAGTTGAAGTTGACAACCTGTATGTTTTCGGATGAAATAAATCCTCTTTTAATCTTCAAATGTTGATATAATTTACAAAAATAACAATTAGTGTATATTTTGTAATCAGATTTTATCGTACAGAATTATTTGGCGTAAAGTATAGTACAACGACAGGAAGCGGCTGGCAGTGAAAAAATATTGCCTTCAAAATGTAAAAAGTTCATCGCATAAAGACCGATTCTTGATAGTCTGTGGTTCTCTTATTTTAGTAGGTGCGAACAAGTGTAATTTATCTATAACATGTATGTTTTAGTGATATATATAGGTAAGTAAATAATACGAAGCGCCAATAATGTTAAAAGTGAGAAATTTAACTTGAAAGTTGACTAAAAAAGCTAATATTTTGTAAGAAAGCGTAAAATGTTTAATGCAAAGAACAAAATGTCCAAATTTCTGTCTGTCCGTACGTCCTGTTTGTAACGTATAGATGGAGAATACTCTCAAGCAAACGTCATTTGTTAGAAAAATTTAATCATGCTTGGTTAAGAACAGAGTAACAGAAAATAAATTTTATTAAATTTGAAAAAAAGCGTTTGGTGTCTCTTGTCAATAGAAAAAAGCACCCCACGCTTTTTTTCAAATTTATTAAAATTTATTTTCTATTTTTAGTTTGGTTTTCTATAAAAGCGTGTTTTTTAGTTTTTTTAAACTATTTTTATTTTTATTTTTTAAATTAGTGTATTGTCATCGGTCCTCGATATATCTACAAAGTTTTAACGAATTCTGACCGTTTAAAGTCAGTCAAAATCACGCCCAAAGGAGTCGGTCCCAAACATACAAACAAACATACAAGTGAAGCTAATATAAAGCGTGTAAAAACAACCGGGAAAACATATTAAGTAATTTTTAGAGCTATAACTTATAATATTGGAATAACTTTATAGTCATAATTTAAGTAAAGGTTAAAACAAAAATAAGTATAGATTTGTAACTAATATTTGTGTTGTAGTACAACATCACTCAGTAGCATTGTTTAATATGACTATGTATGCGTATATGTGTATTGTTGTAGCTTAATAAAGAAAACCACACAAGCTAGTCTAAGGCGCGACGTCGATTTGGGGGACCTGAAATACTCGTAACATGGTCCGGGTCCTCTCCAGGGCGCCTGAGTGCGACCGTTTGGAGTGGTTTTTAGTAGAAGCACCACATACTCCTGATACCCGTGTCTCAGGGTAATCAAAGAGGGATTTACCACCTCCCCAAAAAAAAGCGGTCCTAGATACACCCAGACAAAGAATAGCACGTTCATGCATACAAATGCTTAACGGGAATCAAACACGCTAACTCTGAAGCTGTGTATAATTCGTTACTACTTCCACGGAGCCTCAATCATATATACAGTCCCGTTATTCTATATAACTAGTTTAACAAACAAACACATGATCCACACGTTGGTTAATGACCTTTTAAGGTCAAGAAATTTTGTTTGTCGTTCTTGACTTCAAACACACTAGGTATCTATTGTCCTTAATCAATGATTATAACCCCTAAAAATTACAGTGCATACAACTCATGAATGATACTAACTAAAAAGTATTAAATTGAGTTAAGATTATTTTCACACATTTATTCGTCGTGGGTGTAAATCGAACCCACCACAACCTTTGGCTTTGGCAGCAGTTAAGATCACTAACCAAGAGTCCTAACAGTATTTGCAAATGTGTATACGTATATATAACAAAGTTACAATAATTATACACATTTTTACTGTCCTTATGACGTCAGACGATGCTTCAAGGAACTCAATTTACATATTTTTTTACATTATTATGTATTAACTAGACCACAATGACCACAGACGGACCGGTTCTTAAACTCTACAGCGTCATACAAGGAAAATGATTGAATATGGTGTATTGTAATTTTACCAGTCGGAATGAAGGGTTGTGTGTGTGTGTTACGGCATTTAACTCATTTATTCATGTTTATATAAATCTCGACAAACAAATACAAATTACAAAAAATATAGTAAACTAAAGTGTGGTAATACAAAACCAAAAAATAAAATACAATAATTAAAAAGTATATTTATGATTGTGATAATACTAATAGATAATTTATACAATAATGTAGTAAAATGGTGTATTGAAAAGTTGTAATTTTTAAATTGATGTTTAATGGTGTAAAAGTGAATCAAAATGCAAAATTATATCAGTGATGTTAACTTTGAAAAGGTGTTGGAAGGAACTCCTTTGAGTAAGTACTTACCTATTGTTAATAGTTAACAATTACATTATACGGAAGCCCCTACACCCCTTGAATTGCCCCCATTGGGCCCGAAAGTAGGGTGTGGATCCACGTAATACACACCAAACGTGAGAAAGATGGGAGTGTAACGTGTTTTAACGGTTTCTTTAATCGCCGGCCCCTCACCTGATGCCAATTCTAGTCGTAGTTCGATTCCCACCTACAACAAATCACTGAGTGATGAGTACGATCATTTGTTCTGTGTCTGGGTGTAGGTAATGTGTATAATATGTATGTATGTATTTAGAAATATATAAGTATGTTTATCAATAGTCTGGTTACCATAGTACAGGCTCTGCCTAGTTTGGGACCAGACTGCCGTGTATGAGATGTCTAAGGGTATTATTATTTATTTACAAGCTTCATAGCAGACAAGAATAAAATTATATTTCTATATGTAAATGGGCAAATACAAAACAGGTAATTTTACCGTTTGTGCTTATTACTCGATTTTCCTTATTATTGTTAAGACAAGTAGCATTTGAGGAATTTGAGTGTTGTTGCTGAAAATGAGAGGTTTTATTGTCATTAATAAATAATATGAAGCGACGTCTGGCTGACGTCAATTACATGTTTCTTTGAACCTACAGGAAATTAAGTAAGTATTGAGTTTTAAAATAATAAACAATTTATTTAAAAAATACTACTACAAAATAATGTAAATATAATAATAATAACTTACACACACACGCACACACGTACACGTAAGAAAGAAAGAAAGAAATACGTAATATAAGTCTCTCACATAGTTTTTTTTTATGGTATTAGGGGGCAAACGAGCAGACGGGTCACCCATGTACACCTGCAACTCAAAAGTCACAAGTGTGTTGCTGTCCTTGGAGTCCCTGCCGCTCGAGTTAGCGGGAGGGAGGTTTTGGGCTCCGGTAAATTATACTAATTACTACTGCTAGTTTAAGATACTAAATAGGTATCAGTCTGTGTGAGAGAACAAAAATAAAGTTATTAATATTATTATTATCACTGTACACGTCTCACACACGGCCAAACTATGCAGAGCCTTCACTATGATAACCAGACAGCCGATAAAGATGCTTAAATATTTCTAACTACATACATATTATAGAAACATTACACCTAGATAAAATGACAAATCAAATAGACTGTCATTTAGAGCGATCAAAATTCGACCTCCGCCGGGCGGTTCTAGTACATTCGTATGTATTTTGATAACTAATTGTTTGTGTACTAATGTGTATGAGTCAACACTGCATGCAAGACAAAAATCCTTGAAATAAATGACACTCAATTACACATCGTTTGGTAATCTACGAGAATAGTGTTAACTACTGTTTTGAAATCCTTTTTAACAACAGTTTTAAAATCTAAACTAATATTATAAAGCTGAAAGATTGTTTGTTTGGTTGAATGCACTTCTCTCAGGAACTACTGGTCCGATTTGAAAAATTCCATTTATGAAGAAAGATTATATGGTATATAACATCACGCTACGACTAGTTTGACTGCCTCGGTGGTGTAGTGGAATCGTATGCGACTTCTGTGTTCGATTCGAGATCGGGTTCGATTCCCGGGTCGGACCAAATGTATGTATGATCTGCAAATATTTGTTTCGGAGTTGGGGTGTTTTCTATGTGTAATATGTATGTATTTACAAAAAAAGTATAAAAGTATCTATTCTATCAGTCAATCTAGCTTTCATAGTACAAGCTCTGCTTAATTTGAAACTAGATGGCGTTGTGTGTCATACGTCAAAAAATTAAAATAGGAGCCGAGTATCAATGAAATATGTTGCAAAAACGGGGAAAAATTATTTCTTTACGTAAACGAAGTTATGGGTCAGGTAGTACAATATAATACATTCTAGGTCACAATACACTCCCTCGGGATAGGACCTAGTTAGGTGCAGCATCGATCCGGGGGGGCACCTTAAATAATATGGTCGGGTTCCTACCTAGATTAGGGCGCCTGGAGCCGGTCGTCGGTGTGGTTTTTAGTGGCAAAACTCCTGGCTCCTGAGCTGGAGATCCGAAGGGATTTTCGTCACCAAAAAAAGGTCACATTACACTGGATAAAATCTTTTTCGAAACGTAAATATACTTTACGTTTATAACCCCGAAAGGGGTAGGCCACCCTCATATATATATTCCCTCTTCATATATATATATCCTCATATATGTATAATAATATAGTCCCATATACCTAATAGGAGGCAAGCCTAGATATTACAGAGAAAGAAGACTTAGCTCTATAAAAAAAACAAATATAGGACCAAACCCATTGATTATATATATATATAGATACAAACACAAAGATGAATATATATATTCATCTTTGTGTTTGTATGTATGTCATGAATATTGAAACTCTCAAAACAGGGTAATCGAAAACTTATTCATGGGATTTCCCGTGATGATGTCACAAAAGAACATGGGAATTTCTAAAAAGTCTTAAAGTGAGTTATGTATTAGCCACAGAACCGACAACCGTTAGGGAAAACGAATTCTTGAGTGGAGACCGCGTCTCGGCAAACGTAGTGTAGGACGTCCACAGGCCAGGTGGAGTGACGATTTGCGCAAGATGGCTGGCAGGAACTGGATGCGAGAAGCCCAAAATCGATTTAAGAGGCGTGCAATGGGAGAGGCCTATGTCCAGCAGTGAACTGCGATAGGCTGATGATGATGAGTTATATAAAATATTGACTGTCTAGCGCAGTTTTATATCATACTAGCTGGTACCGCCTTAGTGGTCTAGTACATGAGACCTCGATAGCCGGACCGGACAAAATTTTAGATGGTTTTTCTAAGAGGAAACATAGCTTTAGTAATTTCTTATACAGAGAGCTCAGTTAGCTCTCTGTATAATAAATAACTAAAGCAGTAAAGTAGCAGTAAAGTAGTAGTAAAATATCATCAAAATCGGTCCAGCCGTTTTGAAGATTACCCGAAACAAACAGACAGACAGACAGACTGACACATTTAAACTGGTTTCTAGGCATAGGTATCGTAGAAATAACCTTGTGAGCACTTAAACCGCTAGAGCTACAAACTTGCAATTTTGGCTGTTTGATATTGTGAGCATTTACTAAGAAAGGATTTTAGGACTTTTCATATCTTAAGGGATAAAATGAGAAAAGAACGGTTAATTGTAAGTTTTTGGACCTAACGAGAAAAATTTGCAATCAAATAAAAATTTAAACATCCAAATCGGATTTGGGTTCTTAAAAATGATCTTGATTAAAGTAATACCCGTTATTCATTTTCTAACAGTACTGGTTGGATATAAGAGCTATTATGACATTGTACTCGTACGTACTCGTAATTACTCATTAATTTGTTTTTGTTTTTCGTTTTGATTTTCTTTGAGAAAGACACCGAAATTGTCACATAAATCAGAAAATTACAAATCTATGTTTCTATATTAATTAAGAATTAGACGAAATCTTTTTTTTTGATAATACTAACAACGAGGTTAATATCGGTAGTTTTCTGGGTTACAGGTTAGACCAGCAATTATATATTATTATCAATGTCTATCAGATAAGTTGCAACAATACAGTTTATACCATTATTCTATAGAAATACAATCGATTCTCCGAAAGGCCCATTGCAAAGATGAGATGTTATTGACCTCATGAGACTGAACACAAATTCGTATTGTTGAACAACGACATCTAGTGGTGTTATGAGAAAGTAAACCAAACGATCGGTTGGTTTGAATACTACCGACGCGAACAATAATATATTATAAATTATATTTAGTAAAACACTAAATTGAAGACAAGGACAATAATTTCTATGAGTTTTTAATGAATTATTAACTTTTTGAGGTAAAAATATAAAAAATAAAACCTTTCAGCCGAATTGAGAAGCTCCTTTTGTTTGAAGTTGGTTGAAAGTAAATATTTATAACGTAAGGCATTGCTGCTGGTTGTCGAACTGTTGCCGCAATTTTCTTTAGTAAAATAATGTGTTATTGTATTTTGACGATTAGTTATAAATATTTGTTTTTTGATGAAATATCGTTGTAAGGCAGTGCCGGAGCATTGGTCGGGGCAAGAAAATCTATGAGTAAAAATGCAGTCTTTCTTATCATTGACAGAGCTCCTCAAACATAGATATATGATGGTTTTTATATTCATTTGAAGAGAAAAAAAATGTAAGTGTAAACTATGCGTAATGTTTTAAATAATAACAATATATTTTTTTTTTAATTTCAGCTAAATTTTCAACCAGAGATGAAAGATGGAAGATACTCCAGAAAGCAACTATCGGCAGCTCTGGTCAAAGAAAGTCTCTTCCACGAGAGAGAAGCCAAAGCTTGTACTCATTTGGCGAGTAAGTTCTATTTGAAAAAATATAATTGATAATCAATTTACTCACTCATTCGTTTCTTAGTAATCATTCATTCATTTCTTTCTAAAAAAAGGCTAGCTATTCACTAAAAACTATCTTCTGTAAGCTAAGCATTATAAAATTAAAAACAGGACAAGACAGGGACACTGAAATAAAGAAAGAACAAAATAGAATTTAAAAAAATTGAATTGTTTTTAAACGAAGTTATAGAATCAAAAACCAATAAATAAAAAAATGATTTCTTTTTCAGTAATTTAAAAAAACGTCAAAACCTTTTGTCGTTGGCAATATCTGAATATCCTGATGCACCGGAAAAGAAGCGAAGCACAGTGACCTTACCAAAGACGAGTAGACCGAGCAAAAGATTTAGAAGACTTAACGCGTTATTACTGGAAGCTGTGCGGAGTCAGGATGTTTCAGAAATAGAAAAGTGGGTAAATATATACGCATGTTTTTTTTTTCTTGTAATTAAATATATACTTAAGCGTCATCTAGCGACAGCAAATCAAATTATGTAGTAACTATTGGTTCTACATCGCGCAATAATTTTCTTGAGCTGATTAATGTACAAAGTGTTACCGAAAGAAGTTGTTCTGGGTTATATTGTAGGCCTGGAAAATACGGTAAAACATTAGAAATGTTTGCAAACTTCGTAATAAAACTTGCTTTTTGCTAAAATTTGTTTTAGAATAAGAGTTTAGTATCAAAACATAAATGAGTCAGAACTTTGTATCACCAACATATATTTATCTATATTTAGTATATAGCGATTCATTTTTAGTATATAGAAAGATGACAGAATAAAACTTATTTTAAAACTAACAAATAAAACTAAAAAAAAATGATCGATTAAGCAAAAATTTCATCGCTGTTGTCCATGTAGTGACGGATTAAGAATACGGAGTGTCACCACCCCTATTCATCTCATGGGTCTCGTTAGAGCCGGCTAAGCAAACTACGCAGGACAACAACACTGCAAAGAAAAGGAAAACTTCTCACAAACACTATACCAATCCATCTGGCTAGCGTGGTATAGTAGGCCAAAATCTCATTTCTAAGGAGAGGCCTATGTCCAGCAGAACCCTACTTAAGGATAATCGAAGAGATCCTCTTTTTTGTTGGAGAGACATAGCAAGGATTACTTCCCATTTTGTTTATTGCCAGAAAGTTATATTATTTGAATGTCTCAAATACTTTAAACTTTATGTTCCAGATTAATTATAGCAGGTGCCAATCCCAACGCAACCTGCTGTGCGGAGGATATTTCTGCCTGTCATCTAGCTGCAATGAGACCTGATGGTGCCCTTGCCTTACTGTTAAGTCACGGGGCTGATAAACTACGATCTGACAGATTGGGTAGAACTCCACTTCACCTGGCGGCTTGGGCAGGAAACGTTAGACAGGTCGCTATGTTATTGGGGTTTTCTAAAGGTACATTTTATCTTTAGTTGATAAAGTATCATGTAATGAGACTAGTGATAAGTGATCCTGATTACCGAACCAGATTTCGATCCGAGACAGACAGACAGACAGAACCAGATCGAACCGAATCAGTTATGGATTTGATTCCCATCAAGGACCAATAATTCTTTAATGAGCTCGAGTTTTTATTCTGTGTCTGGGTGTAATTTATCTGTAATATGTACTAGTAGGCCAAAAGCTCCTTTCTAAGGAGAAACCTATGTCCAGCAGTGGACTATTATAGGCTGTTGATGATGATGATGTGATGTGATGTACTCGTATGTACTTAGTATCATATAAGAATGTTTATCAGTATTCTGGTTTTAAAACTTTAACAATAGAATATTCAATATTAAATCATAGTTAGCTAACTTTGAGTAATTGGAGACCTAAAAAGTCCGACAACAGCCTATCTACAGAACTTCGATATCGCTTAGACTTGGGTTGTGGAGGTCTGAGGGCAGTTGCTCCGCGAAAAAAATTGAAGTTTTGCTGTATCGTAGTAGACTTAAAGCCGACCCTAACCTAGTTTGGGAAAAGGCTCAGAGAAAGAATTTAGCTAACTTTCAAGAAATGAAAAATAATCCATATTTCAAGCTGTTAATAAGATTTGACCTTCTGATTTAATTTTAAAAATCCATATCAGAATACTCACTATCTTATCGTAACTAAACTCACTAACTAAACTATAGTCTGTCGACTTTTTTTCCGTAAGAGTTCGATAAATACTCAGTGAGGACTAAATATATTTTCGATTCGATTTAACATGCTATGAACTATTCATAATTTAAATCTTTCGATAATCCAGATTTGACAAACAGAGTATCCCTTTCGATGATGACACCAGAAGTGGAAGAAGAAGTGAAGAATTTGAGTCAATTCATAAAAGAATTGGTAAATGTGAAATGTAGCAATTTTACACAAGATCAGGCAGTACTTCCTAAGGAGTGGTCGGACAACTCGATAGACCACAATTGCAAAGAGTTTGATAAAAGTGTAAGTAGATCTAATAAATGCTCTTTTGATACTTGGAGGAAGGATAGAGAGTTAGAAAGTGTTAGTGACACGATATCTACACCAAAAAAAAAAAAACAACATTATACCTAATAATATACTTCTTTTCTCTTACCTTTCACAAAAATTTCTGAAATAAACAAAGCATAGGTTGAACAGTCATCATCATACGTGAATTCTTTATAATCTGTTCGTCCTTTATGCTGAAGTGTTCTAATCAACTATAAATAGTGACCATACATTGGGTTTACAGCAACTTACTTATTATCAGATACTACTAATTTTGTTAATAGATCGAGTTCTAAATTTTTCAATCGTGTGTATTTTATAAGTTAGTGTAAATATTAAAATTACACAAGTAGCTGTCTACACAACAACAAGTAACAGTCTTCCAACAAGCGACTTTCCTCTAAACCAAGAGATCAATAAGCTCGTGCGACGCGACCTCCGGTACTCCAATACTCTTTCAATTGAAAGAGCGATCGAGCAGAATCGGGGGTCAAAAGTGTTCGTATAATCTCTTGGAAGAAGCCACCTGACGAAGCTGACCACAGCAAGGGCAGTACGTTCGGAAGTGGAAAGCTTCTTTGGTTGGTTATACGCTTCGCATGCATCTTGATCTGATCCAAAAAATGAGGACTCCAGAGCCACATTAAACATGTCACTACACCGAAGACCTTCCAGAAGTTAGCACTGACGAAATCGAGATGGCTTTTGGACAGCTGAATAATGGAAAAGCCCCTGGAGAGGATGGCGTTACAACATGCTGTTGAAGGCCGGAGGTAAACCCGTACTAAGCGAGCTCCAACAGCTGTTCAGCGCTGTCCTGTTTGAAGGGAGAACTCCGGAGGCATGGAGTAGTAGTGTGGTCGTCTTGTTCTTCAAAAGGGGGGACAAGAGCATGTTGAAGAACGTCTACAAGCTATTTTCGAGTCATCACGAATTGTCTTGCGCGAAGACTCGATGAATCCCAACCACCGGCGCAATCTGGGTTTCGGAGTGGATATGGCACCATAGACCACATCCACACAGTGTGGCAGGTTATACAGGAGACCGAAGAATCAGCCTCTGTGTCTAGCATTCGTGGACTATGACTTTGACTCGATCGAGATCTAATCTGTTCTGGAGTCCCTGCAGCGTTGCCAAGTAGATTGGCGATACATCCAAGTGATGAAATGTCTCTACGAAGCCGCCAACATGCCCGTCTAAGTACAGAATCAGCAAACAAGGCCCATACCGTTGCATCGAGGAGTGAGACAAGAAGACGTCATTTCCCCGAAATTGTTCATAAATGCAATGGAGGACATGTTCAAGACGCTGCACTAGAAAGGGCGTGGCATCAATATCAATGGCAAATAAATCTCTCAATTGCTATTTGCAGATGACAGCGTCATCATGGTAGAGAAGCTGCAGGACAACAAGAGATGCTGAATGACCTAGCTGACTCTTCTGTACGCATCGGCCTACGGATAAACTTGGATAAAACCAAGGTTCAATGAACATGTATGTACTACCGGAATCGATTACGGTAGTAGGTGCCGTTCTCCAAGTTGTTCAAAATTATGTGTACCTCGGGCAGGCTTTGCAGTTAGGTAGAAACAGAATAATTCAGTTGTGTTGGGCAGCATTTGGGAAGCTAAGTCAAGTCTTCTCATCTTCGATCCCACACTGCCTTAAGACGAAAGTCTTTAATGAGTGCGTCCTACCCTCTCTTTTTTTCGTTTGTCTAAGGGATCGCGCCAAGAATGAGGTGATCCGGCAGAGAATCAAGGTCACTGACATAGCCTGAGGGATTAGCAAGCTGAAGTGGCTGTGGCTGGTCATATTAGCCGCACAACCGACAACCGTTGGGGAAAACGAGTTCTTGAGTGGAGACCGCGTCTCGGCAAACGTAGGTCGACTAGATGCTGCCACAGGCTAGACGGAGTGACGATTTGCGCTAGATGGCTGGCAGGAGCTGCATGCGAGAAGCCCAAAATCGATCTAAGTGGCGTGCAATGGGAGAGGCATATGTCCAACAGTGGACTGCAATAGGCTGATGAAGAAGCGATTTTCCATATTACTTAGATCTGTAAACTGGGACTTAATCACTACCTAAATATAAGGCATGATACAATTGATCCGATCGTGACTCGTGCTCTATTTCGTATCGAGTTGGATGTCTTAAGAAAGTAAAATTTTAATACAATTTTTTTTTTGTCTAAGATTTTACTACATAACTTAATCATAATGAGTTATCTCTTATACATTATGTCTAAGTCCTGGCGACAATCACAGGACTATTTAGATGACTGTACCCGATTTTACTATAATTTAACTGTAACCTAAATATTCTGGTTTTTTATTTACCTCTTTTTTTCATTTATTCGATTATCGGCAGTTACCGTTATTAGAATCCGGCTGGACTCCTCTTCACGCTGCAAGTTATCGTGCTAAATCCCACTGCACACAGCTCTTACTTGCTGCAGGTGCACATCCATGTGTACGGGATCTGATTGGGAGGTCTCCATTAGACATTGCAGGATCTTCGTATTACTCTAATGATAATATTGATCCTCAGCGGTAGGTTACTTTCAGTTATTGTTAAGACTGCATGATACAAATATATATGTATTTTATCTATGAATTTATTAAGATTAATATCCTTACGATATGTATACATAATACTACAATACGTGTACTTCACTAGATCGGTTATGAAAGTAATGTTCTGTGTATTTAATAGAGTCTGGATTATTTACATTTAATATTGAACTGGATAGGTTGCGTAATGAAATTATATATTTTTTATGTTATGTTACCGTTATTGATATTAAATATTTTTATTATTATGTGTAAATGAATTATAAAACTAAAAATAAACTCTTACGTTAGAATAAGACGTCTGTCGATGTCTCTGGTGATAGATAGATAGAAAACTCTTTATTTGTACACCGTTTTCCAAGAAGTGTGATACATAAAAATATCAGACATGTAATGTAGAAGGGACTGCACCGATGGCGTAGTGATTTAAGCGGTCACTTCGCCGCTTCCTACTGCGCTGAGTGTTGTAGGTCCGATCCCCCACATGGGGCAACACTTTGTATGATTCACAAATTGCTGTTCCGAGTCTGAGGGTTCTTTGTGTCCGTGTAGTGTATGTTTGTGAAGTCCCCCCCGACACAGGATATATTCTTAGTGCGAGAGTTATCTTTTTTAAGAAAAAATAAACAAAAAGTGCGGCCGTATTGCTAAGAACAATCTCTTCCAGGCAACCTTAGGATGATATTTACCATTGACTTTGTAAAATCCTCGTATTTGCCACAATACCTCTCAATATTTCTGATTTCCAGATTCGCAGAAACAATTTTGTTACTAACCGGTGATAAAGCTCACTTTAGTATCAAGAATCGTAAAATTTTGGATACTCCTCTCCATACTGCAGTGGAGCTGGACAGCTTAGAAGCAGTGAGAGCCCTGTTGAGTGTTGGAGTACCAGTTGATTGGTTAAACCGTACGGGTCTCACGCCTCTGCATATCTCTGTAAAAAAAAAGTTAGGAGACATTTTGCAGGTAAGAAGAAACTTTCTTGCTTCTCTAGGTTGGGGTCAGCTTTCAGTGTACTACGACACAGCTGAACTTCGATTTTTTACGTAGAGCGACTGCCATCAGCCCTCCACAACCCGCCAATCTACTAGGCGATATCGAAGTTCTGTAGATTGCCTCTGGTCGAACTTTTTAGGGCTCCAACATGTGTGATTGCCACAGATATTCGTATGTCAGCCGAGACAGACGGCTTGAAGTGCTCTCCGGAAATTTATTTAAAAATGATCGACCGTTCATAGACTGACCTGGCTAGGAATGCTTAACTTTGCAATTTGCTGATCTGCTCCGTTACTACTTAGTCACGAGCCCCTAATAATAATTCTCCTATTTAGAAAGAAATCACATTTTAAATAAAGATTTAATTAATTCTGTGATATAATCTGCAGGTCTTAATACATGACAAGTTAAATCCAGAGGAGAATAAGTATGCAGATATACGAGACAAGGATGGATGTAGTGTTCTCCAGGCTGCTGTGATGGAAGGTTGGGAACATGGTGTAAGCATCGCCTTAGAAGCCGGTGTAAATATCATCATAAAGGTTCGTCAACATTTATTCCATTAGAACTTAAGAACAAAACCTGTGCTTGACGGAAAAAGAAGCAAATATTAAATTCATTTATACTTTACACAATATTTCAGGATTTTAATCATGATACAGCCTTACATTTAGCAGCAGCTATAGGAAATCTAAATATATTAAATAAAATAATCGATGCAGTAAAACCAAAAAGTTTAGTCCATGAAAAAAATTTGCAAGGAGAAACACCTCTAATGAAAGCCGTTATTAACGGACATATTGAATGTGTTAAAAGGTTACTTGAAGAAAAATCCTCTATAAGACAACCTGCAAACAAAGTAAACGTATTCCATTTAGCTGCAGAAAAAGGATTTGTTGAGGTTTTGCAAGTCCTACTAGACCATGATTATATTCTGACTAGAGAAATGATAAATTTTTTAACGGATGACAAAGATGGATTTGGGCCCATTCACTATGCAGTACAGAATAACCATCCACAATGCGTAAAAGTTTTACTGTCAAAAAATGGTTTTAGGTGTCTTAAAACATCGTTAACTGGAGTATATAATGGATCCACACCTTTGCACATAGCAGCAAAACATAATAATGTAGAAATAGCTAAAATAATAATAAAAAACAATCCGGATACAGTTCATAAACTAAATGGTCAAAACTGGACTCCACTACACACTGCCAGCAACTATGGCAGTAGAGATATGATCGAATTGCTTCTAAAGGAGGGTGCTGATCTTTCTTGTTTAGGACAAATTAAGGAAATTGGAACAACACCTATTGATTTGATCATGAACAATTTATCTAACCCCACTGAATTCATGAACCATATATTTGATAAATATATTTATACAAACGATACTTATATTCAAGATCCTAATTGTGAAGTAACTGTCAATTTTCAAATTCTTGTGCCCATACCCGAAGAAAAACAAGAAATGAAAGTAATTGAAGCGTTACTTAAAACAGGAGACAGGTACGAGCAGACGCATTTACTAGTGCATCCATTATTGGAAAGTTTTTTGGATATAAAATGGAAGGCTCTCTTACCATTCATTTATGGAATGATCCTGACATACGGCGTGTACGTGATGTATTTAACAACATATGTGATGTTAATATTCTTTTACAAAGACAATGGCATCGTACAACCTACATGGCTAAACCAAGCAGTTCTAGCTATAATTCTTTATTTGGTTTCGTTTTTTGCAGTAGCTTTGGTAAGTTCGTTATCTATTAATCATTCAACTTAACGGCCCTTCCTTTGGGGTCAATAAAAACAAAATTTCTATAGATCAATAAACTAATACTCATTTTAAGAGTGCCACCATGACGAAATGTTTAAAAATGTCACATAGGTTGATCATTAAGTAAACTTAGATAGTTTTAGGTCTAAACGTAGTAAAAAAGGAGGAGCGAATGTCGTTTAAAAGTGCTATGCCATTGCTATGAATAGCTAAAACTGTAATGTTTTTTTTTTTAGGAGGTTTGCTACATAAATATCAACAAGCGATATTTCCTCCAACTCGAAACGTGGGTGAAATTCGGCTCAATAATATTAGCACTGAGTCTTCCAAGCACCATCGCCAATACTGAACCCAATGTAGACTATCCTCGATATATAGCCACCGTGTCCTTGTTGTTGTCCTGGTTGGAAATGATGTTCCTTCTGTCCAGATTCCCGACTTGGGGGTACTATGTCCTAATGTTCGGAAAAGTCTCCTATAATGTTTTAAAGGTTAGTTAATTGTTTATTTTTTTATTGTTATTTGATTTTATACATTCGTGTGGTAACAGATTAAAAATACGGAGTGTCACCATCCCTATTCGACCCGTGGGTGTCGTAAGAGCCGGCTAAACGAGAAAACTATGCAGGATAAAAGCACTGTAAAGGGAAGGAAAACTTGATACAAACCCCATACCAACTCGTCTGACCAGCGTGGCATATTAGGCCAAAAGAAATGCATATGTCCAGCATTGGACTAATAAAGACTGTTGATGTGATGATGTGATGTTATGAATTGATTTTGTTTTGTTTTTAAATCAAATTGGTTCAAAAAGATGTGCAATAGCCTGTGTGTGAATCATAAGCGAGATGGTCTTGAAACTTGTTTAACTGAGAACCCCTTTTATCAAATAGGCAGGTTTCGAATGACAGTAATCTTATTTATCAACTATCCTACTAAGTGAGGCCAATTTATAGCGTTATTCTTTTATAGAGTTGAAACACAAACTACAAGAAACTTAAGATAGTAATAAAAACAAAACACGTGTTTAAAATTATCAAACCTGTATCTAACGGTGCATAAACAAAACCCAAATAAAACTCAGAAATCAAGTTTCAATTAAAAGGTTTGAAAGTTCCCGGTAACAGAGGTATTTTAATAGATATGTATTTGGATGTTGTTTAGTCTGAGTTAACTATATTCAGCCTATCTTTTTCGTTGTTACAGGTTCTTCTTACGTTTTCCTTCTTGGTGGTCGGTTTCTCCATCAGTTTCATGGTGATGTTTCGTCACCAATCACCTTTTGAGAATCCTTGGGCTGCTCTGGTCAAGACGTTAGTAATGTTAACCTCAGAGTACGATTACGGTGACCTAATGGAACAAGTCAAAACGGTGGATGGGGCCAACAATACAACATCAACTGAATCATTTTTTAAGAATACTTTTCAGTCCTTGCTCTTGGTTCGGTTAATCTTTTTAATATTCCTTATTTTAGCTGCAATTGTCCTCATGAATCTTATGGTAGGAGTGGCTGTAAATGATCTGCAAAATTTACAACTAATAGGCAACATTAGACGACTTACGAAACAAATTGAGTTTCACCTTTCTCTTAATAGATCACTCTATAATCGATTCCTAAGCAAAATACTGCCTAAAGACTTACTAAATACCTTACTAAATAGTAAAACTGTTGACACTACCTTGGTTCTTCGTCCAAGTGAACCTAATTCTAAGACATATAAAGCCTTACCGTCAGATATACGAAACGCTATATTTGAAAAAGCACAGGTACAGAAAAAACAATACGAAGAAGAAATAGGTACACAAATCTATAAAAAGAAGTTAGATGAAATACATGGTGCGATTATGAAAATACAAGAAAATACCATTTCAAATGCAGTAGAAAATTTTGAAAATGCCGTTGCTGATGTAGATGCCGAAGTAGTCGACTGTAATAACCACATTACGGAAATATTAAAAGAAATGCGTTCTTCTATAAATACTCTAGAATTGAAAGTAGACATGATACTTAATAGATTACAAAGTGGTCAAAGTAACCAAGCCAAAAGTTATCTTAAAATATTCAAAAGTGATAAACCTTAATGGTCAAGTGAAAGTATATCTATATTTTATGATTTCGATACAATTCTATATAGCAATAACACGTTTTTGCTAGCTAAATTTAAATATAGAAACTAAACTGTTAAAGTCATAAATGTTCTGATTCTATTCTTCTCTACTAACTTACCTCCAGGCACAAAAATATTCCAGGTCCACGCCAGGTCAGAATCACCGCCTTAGGAATAAGTGCCAGTGTTTCTGTCTTCTACTAAATAGGAACCTGGTTGAATTCGGAATATTCGCGCTAAGTAGCTTCTTGGAAGGACCAAAATTCGGGCCTTGGATTGATCTCTTTACTGTCTTTTACTGTGTGTCTGTACTTTACTGAGTTAGCTCATTAAGGTTAACAAAACAGTTAAAATAATATGTTTATAATATTTGTGGATGAAAAAAAATGCATTTCAAGTTCTGTGATAGATTTATACCTGTTAGTGCCAAAAATTGTGAATTGTGACTGTTTATATTTATACCATTTGTTAAAAAATACCTATTAAATATAAATACTTTCATAAAAAGCCTTTAATTCGAACTAATGGAACTCTACGATACTCTAGCCATATAATATTCCGGTGTATCGGTGACCGGTATCGTAGCTCGGAAAGACGCCGCCATTGCACCCTATCTGGTGGTTCCGCTGAGTTCCGGCGACGGATGCTGCCTATCTGGAGTTTACCACACTTTAAAGTATTTTTATTTGTGAATATGATTATGGTCAACCGGTGGTTTGATGTCAAATGGTTCAAGAATATTTTCCTGAATTTATAAGCTTATAAATATATTTTTTTTAGATTATTGAAAGTGCCGGTTTTGGAATGTCATTATTTTCACAGGAATTCATTGAGAGTCTTGTCATAAGACAAGACTCTCATATAAATAGGGCCTCTATATATCTCATATAAATAGGGCCTCTATAGGCTCTCTATATAAATAGGGCCACTGGTTAACGCAAGGCCTCGATGCGCCCGACCACCAGAGAGACTCCTTTAGTGGCATTGCTCGCCGCTTCTTGAAAGTTGACCCCGGGTTGGGACCAACGTGTAATGTTACAGCAAACGTGTCCTGGAACATCTCATGTTACAGATTACGCCCAGCCCTTAGTAAGAACATGGGCCGATTACTCAAAACTTCATTATTGGTGCGTTACGGTACGCTCTTATAAATAGTCCAGTTTTTAATTTACTGCTATATTATTTTTAATACTTTTAATGTCTTTGTAGTATTTATCTAAAAGTGATTTTAGTTTCATAAAAATAATGTTATAAGATGTGAGGTGATGTTCTGTTAGAGTTCCTTTCCACCAATCGTCTGGTGTGGAAAGTTCTCTTTGCCTCCACGCTGACATGATGACTCATCGGAGTCAAACTTATTCAAATATGACAGGCCTTTTTACAAATCACCTTTAAGCGTCCGAAAATTTCGGTATCCAGATAATATACATAAAACTAAGCCTCCGACTAAATCTCACTTTCCTCGGTAGGTGGAATGACCAGACTCTAACTACTGAGGAAAAAGCGTTCCTTTTCTTGAACTTCAGATCACTTACGGTATTATTTTCATAAAAATTAATTAGTTATAGTTAACATCAGAGGGAAACAACGGTCCATAGCAGGATTCACATTGCAAGCATGGTCGAAGAAATAAATGTATTATGTTTGTTTGTGTTGACTTGCTGTAGAGCGTTATCCAATCTTGATATAATCGTAATATTACAAAAAACACACACATACAAAAACATCACAAAAATCTTCATCATCTTTCTGCTCTCTACCCAATATTATTTGAGGTCAGTGCAAGGGGTAACACTGCAAAGGGTCTTGGCTAGTTTCTGTAATGCATGGCCCCAAATGTCTTTTAACCTAATTTCATTGCCTTCTGGACTATGTTTAACAAAGGATGTGGGCTGCGCCATTTTTAAGACATCGGCTTTAAAATTCTAAAATATTAGTACCAGGCTTGGATTTTACGAGAAATTTGGTTCGTAACTAAGTTTATGACTGCGAAGTTTAGGCACTTTTAGTATTTTTATTTGTAAATTACATTGATCAGTAAATTTACATTTATCAGATGGTTGTATAGATACTTTTAATATAGGAATGAATGTATTGACACACACGATCTGTTTAAAGCAAACAATTTATGGCCTAATTCAAATTGAAAAATCATGAAAATGCTTGATGGTTTATGTCTGTTTCCTAAGGGTAATTCACATGTTATTTCAATTACACGTAAATAAATAAAAATACTACCCGTTTGTAAAGAATGAGAAGCGTTTGAAAATATCGAATTTCCAAAATATTCTTAATAAATTAAATGCTTGATCTCTCTTACTGAATGTGTGGTTCATACAATTTTATAGTAAAGCAATAATAGTTACTCCTTTATTCATTAGGTGGTCGATTTCTCTATAATATACTTTAAATTTTAGATACTTACAAGAACTTAGAATCGAACTGATGGCAGTTTTAATTGTGGCCGTTGGAAATAAGCCAACCACTTTCGTACATACATCTTAGTTAAGAATTAAAATTTGAAGCACCTTACACAAAATCGCCTATAATATGGTAATTAGAATTGATTAATATAGCTAAATATTTCCAAATACATTCTATTATAAATCAATGTCAACTAGACATAGAACAACTAGCAGAATAATGGCAGAATAACCTCCATAAGCGCAGGCTTGGAGTTGACAGGTACTAGTACCTGGAGACGGCGTGCGGTGTTTGGTCGATTCGAGTCCGACATAGCCACCCTACTCATCATCATCAACAGCCTGTAACAGTCAAATTTTGGACATAGGCCTCTCCTTAGAAAGGAGGTTTTGGCCTACTATACCACGCTGGACCAGGCGTGTATGTATTGGGTTTGTGTCAAGTATTCCTTCTTTTAGAAAGAAAACTCCCGAGAAAAGTTACGCTCAGTAAAAAAAGGGTGAGATTTAAAAACCATCGCAGGCTCAGCATGCCGTATCACTAACCATTAACAAGCCGGTCAATTTCTTTTTCATGTAACGTATCCATTATCTAAGCGTCACTTTCCCGGACAATTGTTTTTTTCAAACCGAATTTGGAGAAAAGAAACTGACCCAAAACTTTTTGTCAGATGTTAGCAAAAAGTCGTAATTTTCAGCGACAGTCGCTAAATTGGGCAGCACTGGTTTTATGTACACGCCACATGGAGGAAGAAAATTACTTAGTAAACTAAGTAATCTCTTCCTCTATGTGTTTTTCGTGCATGATCTTCTGACATCTTGCTGGCGAAGGTTAGAAATAGCGGTTTTACGACCGTCCTCACTTAAACCTTAACTTATGTGATATTGTTTACAATAAAAGCTTCGAGAGGTCACTGATTTGTATTCTTTAGATAAAATTTAGGTGGCAGTTGAAGTAACAATGAAAATGTGAAACAAATTTTTGAAATGAATATCGTTTACTACCGTATGCCTTTTCCATTTTTGTTAAGAACGAATGTAAAAGCAGAATACTGGTCATACGGACTGCATTCCAACGATTTATGTTAAAAAATTATTAATTCTGGAATGGATATCATTGTGTTGTGTGAAACAGGACTAGTTATCACTAAGCAGGTCATATTGCTATCGCTAGACCTTAAAGTATGTTTTGGCTATCGATATAATTGTCTATAGATTCTTCAAAGAAATAAGGAATATGTGTTTAAAAGTTAAAACTAATTATTAGCTATACCTATTAAAAAAATATATTTACACTACCTTTACAACTTGCACGAGGAGGACTTAATGCCACATGGCATTATCGATCAGTCTACTTTAAGATGGTTCAGTAATGGACATGGCAGGTGCATTTGTACAATGAAAAGAAATGTAAATTACAATTACCAGGGCTATTTAAAAGTTTAACCCACTCCAAAAAAGAGGAGTTAATTAATTCAACTGAATATTTCATTTTACACTGTGTGTGTGTTTTACACGATTTCTTCGATAATCGTTCTTCTTTTTGCCTTGCTAGACGGCGACTCTTTGCGTGTGGCAGTGGCTCTCCGCCTGGGCTGCAGGGTGTGCGAACCACATAGATGCACCTGCGGTTCCATGGTGGGGGCCGATGGTCTTCATGCACTGAGTTGTCGTCGCTGCGCAGGTAGATTTTCGCGACACCATGCCCTAAATGACATAGTCCGAAGGGCTCTTATATCCGCCAATGTACCCTGCGTGCTGGAAGCCATCGGGTCTTAGCAGATCTGACGGGAAGCGGCCGGATGGCTTGACTTTGGTGCCGTGGAAAAACGGCAAGTGCTTGGTATGGGACGCCACATGCGTTAGCACAGTCGCGGCCTCACATCTGAGTCGCACCGTCCAAGCCCCGGCGGCGGCGGCGGAGGATGCCGCTAGTAGGAAGCGATCAAAATACGCCGCAATGGAGACGCACTATTATTTTGTGCCTATTGCGGTGGAGACTTTGGGCAGTTGGGGGTCAGAAGCTAAAAAGTTAATTGCGGAGATTGGTCGCCGAGTTAGGGAAAAAAGTGGTGACTCCCGCTCCGGCTCGTTTCTGGTGCAAAGAATGTCCGTTGCAATTCAGCGAGGCAATGCTGCCAGTATCATGGGCACCTTTGCACCGGGAGCAACGCGGGGCGGGTTATATGATCTGACTTAAAAAAAAAAAAAATATAATTGTAACTTAAATGTATGTATTTTATATGAAACGTGTGTATAATAATATTTTGTTCTTTTTATTAAATTGGTTTTATTTCAAGAATAGAAAAAAGAGAAAATATAAATTAGAAAGAAATACTTTTATTTTTATCAAAATTTAAGGTTATTGAAGTATACTTATACTTTTTTCAATGATATCGTAATAAAAATTACAGCTAACAAATGTGAAGTCTTATCACCATCATCATCATCATCAGTCTATCGCAGTCCACTACTGGACATAGGCCTCTCCCATTGCACGCTACTTAGATCGATTTTGGGCTTCTCGCATCCATGAAATGAAGTCTCACTA